TGACGAAGATGATGATGAGGATGATGATCAGGGTGAGGATGATGATGAGGATGATAATGAGAATGAGGATGAGGATGATGATGAGGATGTTGTTGCGGGTGATGATGAGAATGATGATGTGCATGATTATGTGGATGATGATGAGGATGATAATGAGGATGACGATGATGAGGATGATGATGTGGATGATGCTGTGTATGATGAGGAGCATGCTGATGAGAATGATGATGAGGATGACGATGAGGAAAATGATGGCGATGATGTTGAGGATGATGATGAGGATGCTGATGAGGATGCTGATGAGGATGATGATGAGGATGGTGATGAGGATGATGATGAGGATGATGATGAGGCTGACGATGAGGATGATGTTCATGATGATGATGAGGATGATGATGAGTATGATAATGAGGATGATTATGAGGATGTTGGTAAGGATGATGATGATGATGATGAGGATGATTATGACCATGACGATGACGATTATGTTGAGGATAATGATTAGGATGTTGATGAGGATGATGATGAAGATGATGAAGAGGATGATGATGAGGATGATGATGAGGATGGTGATGAGGATGATGATGACGATCACGATGAGGATGATTATGACCATGCTGATGACGATTATGTTGAGGATGATGATGAGGAAGATGATGAGGATGATGATGAGGATGAAGACGAAGAGGATGTTGAGGATGATGATGAGGGTGAGGATGATGATGAGGATCATGATGAGGGTGATAATGCGGATGATGACGAAGGTGATGATGTGGAGGATGATGAGGGTGAGGAAGATGATGAGGATGATGATGAGGGTGATAATGCGGATGATGACGAAGGTGATGATGAGGAGGATGATGAGGGTGAGGATGATGATGAGGATGATGATTATGATGATGATGAGAATGATGATGAGGATAATGATGAGCATGAGGATGATGATGTGGATGACGATGAGGAAGATGATGAAGATGTGGATGATGATGCTGCTGAGGATGATGATGAGGCTGATGATGAGGATGATGATGAGGATGCTGATAAGTATGATGATTAGGATGAAGATGGGGATCACGATGAGGATGATGTTGAGGAAGATGATGAGGATGATGATGAGAATTATGATGAGGATGATGATGAGGATGATGATGGGGACGGTTCTGATGATGATGATGATGATGATGATGAGATTGATGATGAGGATGACGATGCGGACGATGATGAGGATGATGAGGATGATGATGAGGATGAGGAGGAGGATGATGATGAGGCTGATGATGTTGATGATGATGAGGATGAGGATGAGGATGATGATGAGGATGTTGATGATGATGATGATGAGGATGATGATGAGCATGATGATGAGGATGATGACGAGGATGATGCTGAGGATGATGATGACGATGAGGATGAAAATGATAATGAGAATGATGCTGAGGTCGATCATAAGCATGATGATGAGGATGATGATGAGGATGATGATGAGGATGATGATGAGGATGATGATGAGGACGATGATGAGGATGATGAAATGCTTGATCATGCCGATGATGATGAGGATGATGATGAGGATGATGATGATGAGGAGGAGGATGACGATGTGAATGATGATGAGGATGATGATGAGGATGATGATGTGGATGATAATGCGGATGATGATGAGGATGATGACAAGGACGATGATGAGGATGATGATGCGGATGATGATGAGGATGAGGATGATGATGATGAGGATGACGATGAGGACGATGATGAGGATGATGTTGAGGATGATGATGAGGACGATGATGAGGATGATGACGTGCTTGATCATGACGATGATGATGAGGATGATGATGAGGATGATGACGAAGATGATCACGAGGATGATGATGAGGCCGATGATGAGGATGATGATTTGCTTGATCATGAGGATGATGATTTGCTTGATCATGAGGATGATGATGAGGATGATGATGAGGTTGATGATGAGGATGATGATGAGGATGATGATGAGTATGATGATGGGGATGATGATGGGGATGATGATGAGGATGTTGATGATGATGATGATGAGGATGATGATGAAGATGGTGATGAGGATGAGGATGAGGATGATGATGAGTTTGATAATGAAAATGATGTTGAAGTTGATGATGAGCATGATGATGATGATGATGAGGAGGATGATGATGAGGATGATGCTGAGAATGGTGATGAGGATGATGATGAGGATTATGATGAGGATGATGATCAGGATGATGATGAGGATGTTGATGAGGATGATGATGAGCTTCTTGATGAGGATGAGGTTGAGGATGATGATGAGGTTTATGATGAGCATGATGATGAGGATGATGTTGAGGATGATGATGATGATGATGATGAGGATGATGATGGAAATGATGATGAGGATGATGATGAGGATGATGATGATGAGGATGATGAAGAGGGTGTTGATGAGGAGGATTACGGGGATGCTGATGAGGATGTTGATGATCATGATGAGGATGCTGATGAGCATGATGACGAGGATGATGATGATGATGATGATGATGATGATGATGACGAGGATGATGACGAGGATGTTGATGAGAATGATGATGAGGATTAGGACGAGCATGATGATGAGGATGAGAATGAAGATGATGATGAGGATGATGATGAGGATGATGATGGGGACGATGTTCAGGATGATGATGAGGAGGAGGAGGAGGAGGAGGAGGCGGAGGATGATGAGGATGATTATGAGGATGACGATGAGGATGACGATGAGGATGATGATGAGGATGTTGACGAGGATGATGATGAGCATGATGATGAGGATGATGATGATGTTGATGATGAGGATGATGATGAGGATGATGATGAGGATGATCATGAGGATGATGACGAGGATGATGATGAGGATGATGATGAGCACGAAGATGAGGATGATGATGAGGATGATGATAAGTATGATGATGAGGATGACGATGATGATGATGATGTGGATGATGATGAGGAAAATGATGAGGATGATGATGAGTATGTTGATGAATATGATGTTGAGGATGATGATGAGGATTATGATGAGGATGATGATGAGGATGATGATGTGGATGATGATGAGGATGATGATGAGGATGAGGATGATGAGCATGTTGATGAGCCTGATGATGAGGACGATGTTAAGGATGATTTCGATGAGGATGATGTGCTTGATCATGAGTATGATGATCAGGATTATGATGAGGATGATGATGAGGATGATGATGAGGATAATGATGAGGATGATGATGAGGATGATGATGATGATCATGATCATGATCATGATGATTAGGACGATGATGAGGATGATGATGAGGATGATGACGAGGATGATGATTAGGATGATGATGTGGACGTTGATGAGGATGAAGATGAGGACAACGATGATGATGATGATGAGGTTGATGATGATGAGGATGATGATGAGGATGATGATGAGAATGATGATAAGGATGATTTCGATGAGGATGATGTGATTGATCATGAGGACGATGATCAGGATGTTGATGAATATGATGTCGAGGATGATGATGAGGATGATGATGAGGATGATGTTGAGGATGATGATGAAGACAACGATGTTGATGATGATGAGGATGATGATGAGGATGATGATGAGGATGATGATAAGGAAGATGTCTATGAAGATGATGTGCTTGATCATGAGAACGGTGATGAGGATGATGATGAGGATTATGATGAGGATGATGATGAGGATGATGATGAGGATGATGATGAGGATGATGATAAGGATGATTTCGATGAGGATGATGTGCTTGATCATGAGGACGATGATCAGGATGTTGATGAATATGATTTCGAGGATGATGATGAGGACAACGATGTTGGTGATGATGAGGATGATAATGAGGATGATGAAGAGGATGATGATGAGGACGACGACGAGAATGATGATGAGGATGATGATGAGGATGATGATGAGGATGTGGATGATGATGATGATGATGAGGATGATGATGAGCTCGATGATGAGGATGATGATGCGGATGATGATGAGGATGATGCTGAGGTTGATGATGAGAATGGTGATGAGGATTATGATGAGGATGAAGATGAGGATGATGATTAGGTTGATGATGAGGATGATGATGAGGATGATGATGTGGAAGTTGATGAGGATGATGATGAGGACAACGATGATGATGATGATGAGGATGAGGATGATGAGGATGATGATGAGGATGATGAAGAGGATGATGATAAGGATGAGGTCTATAATGATGATGTGCTTGATCATGAGGATCATGATCAGTATGATGATGAGCATGATGATGAGAATGATGATGAGGATAATGATGAGGATGATGATGAGGATGATGATGACGATGATGACGAGGATGATGATGATGATGATGATGATGATGATGATGATGATCATGATGATTAGGACGATGATGAGGATGATGATGAGGATGATTATCACGACGATGATGAGGATGACGATGAGGATGATGATGAGGATGATGATGTGGATGATGATGAGGATGATGATGGGGATAAAGATGAGGATGATGATGAAGTTGATGATGAGGATG